TGGTTGGAGCATTGTCCCTTACATCAAAAGGCCACCGGTTTGATTCCAGTCAGGGCACATACCCGGATGGTGGTTTGATCCCTGGTAAGGGCATGTATAGGAGGCAACCAATCAATGTTTCTCAGATAGCTTTCTTCCTCCTCTCTGCTTCTCCCTTTGTCTCTCTAAAATCAATAAAACAAGCAAACAAAAACATAACCTCAGATAAGGATTAAAAATTTTGTTCTTAAAAGTCAGAGGATAACATGCAGGAAAACAATAAGGTGTGTGGCTTTCTTTTTTCTTCTTCTTTTCTGGTAGAAATGATATAACCCCCGGAAGTTAAGATTTCATTGTCCTCTAAGACATAAAACTGCTTGGAATCTAACTTAGCAATCTTCTTTGAACATTCCTTTTTCCACTGCCATTTTAATCAGTTTCGTATATCCTCACCGAATCAGTTTTATTATTCGGCTAGTTCTCTCATTAAATCAGTTCAGTAAAATTTGGACACATGCTCTCTCTACCTGTGTGTTCTTAACAGTTTAAGAATGAGTCTTTGGTGGTTCCTGGGCCCGACACTCAAATGGTGCCTGAGACACTGAGCTCTCTGCTACCGCACCTTCTCACCCCCACCAGTCACGCTCAAAGGGCAGCCATGTGACGACAATCAGATTTAGGCCAATTAGCTCAGTCAAGTAGTATGGCATAAGTGACACCTCCCCCATCCATAGAGGTGACAGCTTTAGACAAAGAAAAGCATACACTGAAAGTGAGTGAGGCAGCGATCCCACTCTCATGTGTAAACAGTGCCTTTGTCCATAAGAAGATTTATTCAAGAATGTTCAAAGCCTATATTCATAAAACACCCAAACTGGAAACAGCACAAATATGCATCAACAGGAGGATAGTTAAATGAATTGTGGCATACTCATAAAATGGGATCTATACAGCAAGAACCAAGCGCTGATATACACTACCACATTTTGTTGTGCAAAAGAAGTCAGATATGAAAGAGCACATATTGCATTATTCCATTTATATGAAATTCAAGTACAGGCAAAACTAATCTATGATGATGGATTACCAACGGGAAGGGGAATGACTGGGGAAAGGCATGATAGAACTTTATGGAGAGATAGAAATAGCATTGATCTGGATGATGGCTACAGAGGTACACACTTAGGGTAAAATAATCAAGCTGTACAATTATGGCTGTAGCCTTTTACTCTATGTAAATTTCACCTGAAAAAATGAATAATTTTTTTAAAGAGAAGGGAGAAAGAAAAATGAATTCTTAAAGAAGTGGGTGGGGGATGAAGTAGAGAAAAGAAAGGAAAGTGGGATCTTAAAAGATTCTTCTTCTACATATACAGTAAGTAAATAAGAACTAACTAGATAAAAGAAAAAGAGGGACAACCCAAAAAAACCATGAGGACTAATTGGGTATACTTATGTGTGCCAACAAATCTCAGCCCGAGAGCTACTGAAGCCCAGGCATCTTCTTAATCCTGGGGATGTCAGAATGGCTGGTATTTTTCTTTTGAGAAATCGAGACAATAGAGTTGAGAGTGGACACTGACTAAGGATCCAATAAATGAATCAAGAAAACACTTCCGGTAAGCTCTCTGCCAGCAGTAACAATGGCATAAAGGTACACAAATAAGCAATGGATTCCACAAGATTACCCCACTCAATCTGGGGACAAATTATTCTTAGCTAAATAAAGCATGCGTAAACCACTTTCAAAACTCCGAACTTACGCCAATACGATTATGACTTAAAGATGTATTTTCAGCGTTCAGAATTCTCCACAGCAGTTTTCATTATTGTTACATTCCGCTGCATCCACCTACTACATTTTCAATAATAGGCCTAAAACATTCCCAGTGGGTGCAGATTTGCAGATAGACTCAGCCATCTGAAAGAACAGACGTTTCTTTTGCTGCCAAATGTAACAGCCATAAAGAGGTACAGCTCTAGGCATTCCGGCCACACCCTTTCCGGACTGGGAAGGAGGAGCATCTCCAAAGCACATGAGTTCCCCTCACCAGAAGTGCTCTAGCCTAGGTGAAATGACAAGTGATTGGGCAACAGCAAGGCACTTGGGCCAGAGGAGAGTGGGGAGTGCACACGCAGTCAGTGGCCAGCCACACACTGTCTCCTTTAATCCTCAGAGTGGCCTGATGTGATAGTCAGGCTCACACAAGGGAGCAGAAGGCATGCTTGAATCAGGTCATCTGAGGCGGGATTAATAAAGAGACTTTTACAAAGTGGATGAGGTGCAGAGAAACTCCAAGGCAGAAGCCAGAACTAGAACAAGGGCCGCCCATGCCTATAGGAATGAGAAGAAAGGAATGTCAATGGTGATGGATGGAAGCATTGGCCAAGGGACATAGCCAGACTAAAGGAACTCCAAGGCAAGGATCCAGGAGAATAACCCCTGTCCTGGCTAGCCTCCCTTCCTCCCTCCCTGCCATGTCCCACCAGCTTCCCTTTGACCAAAGCCCAAGGATGGAATGGGGAAGCAGCCCACTGAGGAGGCCTGAGGCCAAGGAGTGGGGGAAGGATGGAGAGAGGCCCCACTTTGACAGCAAGGAGCCCTTCTGTTCCCTAGCGCTCCAGGAGCAAGCCTGCCTGGCTCCTCCTGTGCTGCCTGCCCTGGTGCCCACTACCCCGCACAAATGCTTACAGCAGGTACACTTGCCTTGAGTGAAGTCTCCTTCCTAAAGTCCTCCTTTCTCTTTCCCATGGTCCTCCTCCCCTCCTTCTCAGAGTCCTCTTCTCTTTTTTTCCCAGATCCTCCTTTCTCTTTCCCATGGTCCTCCATTGTCATTCTTCCTCCTTTGTCTTTACCCCAAGCTTTGCCCCTCTGATCTAGGAAAAACCCTCCTAGAATTTGGCTCACCTTCAAGGACAGTCCTTGTCCCCAAACTGGAGTTTTTGTTTGAAAGGATAAAAGAATTCACCCCTGTTTACACAACAACAGTTAATCTGTGGTGGCCCAAATGTAATACTTTTCTACTCTTAAAATGGGAAGAGAGCCGCTTGGGTAAGCTGTAGTCCAATAAAAAAAATTGTTTATATTCCCATAACTGTTAACAGAAAGCAAGATTTATCAGCACGTTACCAACAAAGCTCAAAGAAGGAAGAAGAAGAGGGGGAGGAAGAGGAAGGAATGTTAGCAGGATCACACTAAGGCAAGATCCTGAAGTCAGATTAAACTGGGTTCCTATTTGCTCTAGACTGGGGGTGGGTCCAGAGAGAGGACCCAGGGCTCAGAAGCTTGGGTCTCACCACTGTTTTTCATTCAACCACCCCTTTCCATAAAACCGTCCCCTACAGCCCTCCAGGCCCTTTGAGGGGAACACATGCATCTCTAGATCCACATTCCCCTCCCCCTGCCCCCACAGACATTAAGCAATGTCTGGTATCACTGAAACTACATGAGGAGCCCTGGGGATATCTGCACACAGCCCTTACCACTGAGAACATTCCAGTGTTCTCCACTGTTACATGGAAGTTTATGGTACAGAGATTTTTTACACCTTCCTAGTATGTCCCACAGGGAACAGCCAGCCTCCGCTCCCCCCTTCTCCCCCCCAATTTCAACTTTTACAACTGTGCAGTAATCATTTATTTTTTTAGGATTTTGTTATTTAAGTACAATATTATATTAGTCATATTAGTCCCAAGTGTACAATATAGTGATTTGACATTTTTATACATAACAATGTGATCACCACACATTCTAGTCATCATCTGTCACCATGTAAACTTATCAGACTTCATATATATATATATATATATATATATATTTTTTTTTTTTTTAATTAATTTTTTAACAGAGAGGAAGAGAGAGGAATAGTGAGTTAGAAACATCAATGGGAGAGAAACATCTATCAGCTGCCTCTTGCACACCCCCTACTGGTAATGTGCCCACAACCAAGGTACATGTCCTTGACCGGAATCGAATCTGGGACCTTTGAGCCAAACTGGTTTCGGCTTATCAGTCTCTTTGACTATATTCACCTTCAACTCCTCCCCCCCTCCCCCCCCCCCCCCCCCCGCAGGCCCCCAGCCCCTCCCTCTCCTCTGGTAACCACCCCTTTTGTCTCTGTTTCTATGAGTCTGTTTTTGTTGTTCGTTCCATGTTTTGTTTTTTTTAGAGTCCTTCATATGAATGAGCTACAGTTTTTGTAATTGCCGCTAGATGACTTTGGCAAAGGGCAAATTTTGAAAATCTTACTGAAAAAATAGATGTTATTCAATGCTGCATGGCCACAATGAGGGAAAGGAAAATAATATTGCTCCTTTCATAAAAGCAACATGAATACAAAGGTGAAAAAACATAGTATAACTGGAATTCTGCATCTCATTTGATTGCTACTTAAGTAGTCAAAACTCGTTTCACCCATGGAATGGAAAAGGGTAAAATCCCTATAAGTCAGGGATTTTCAACATTTTTTTTGTCTCATGACACACAAACTAATTACTAAAATTCTGTGACACACCAAATATATATATATAATTTTTTTGCTGACCTGACAAAAAAAATGGTATAATTTTCATTCATTCATGCCAGGCAGCTATTGTATTAGCTGTTGCCATTTTTTTATTTGACAGGCTAAGGGAAAAGAGGTCAGTCAGTACCCCTGACTAAATAGTCAGGTATTGCATGTTTCAAAAATTCTTGCAGCACACCGGTTGAAAATCACTGCTTTAAACCATCAAAGCAAATAAACAAGTACATAAATGAAACAGTTGAAAAGCTTTCTATTTTTCTAGCATTTTCTAAGTGACACACAATTTTGAAAGAGAACATTATGGCCTTCAGAAAGTAATTTCAAAACAGGTATTTCTAGCTATCTAGGCAAAGCTATCTGTGCTCTTCTTAATAGCACACAAGAGGTCCAGCTGTCAAGCTGTCCCCTTAGAGCCCAGGATACTCTTCCTCAGCCCCAGCTTTGGTCAGCAGAGCCCACACAGCAGACAGGAAAAGGGTTTCACTTTGTACTCACTCTTACAAAGTTGTCAGGGAACAAACCTCTCCTGCCATTGATCTGTCCCTCCCACCAGCCTCCATCTTCCTTCCTGATGTTGGTGATGATCTCACCCACGCTGATTGTCAGCTCATCGTCGTGCTGGGCCTGGTAGTCAAACTCCACTATGGCCTCCACTGAAAGAAAGGAACAAGGATCATTGCTGACATGTACACATAAGGAACTGTTTGACATTGAAATTGGGTCTCAAAAGAACTGGTGGCCCAGAAAGAAGTTCACTTCAGACTGATTCATATGCCTTTCAGCATAACCATTATTGCTTGTCTCATTTTTGATTCTTATATTTCCAGTAGGATATGATCTCACTCATCTAGCAGAAATGGTGAATAATATAGACTGATGAACAAGAACAGACCCAGAGAGAAGGAGCCATGGGTCAGACTGTTGGACCTCAAAGGGAGGGTGAGGATAAAAGGGAGAGATCAACCAAAGGACTTATGTGCATACATTTGAGCCTAACCAGTGGTCAAGGACAATAGGGGGGTGGGGGCATGAGTTGGGGGGTGGGGGATTGGAATGGGGGGTTGAGGACAAATATGTGATACTTTAATCAATAAAGAAATTATTTTTTTTAAAAAGGAACAAGGACAAAAAAGAGAGAGAGCACCTTAGATTGGGTGTTGGAGAAGTCTGAGGCTCAGCAGCCCTGGAAGGTCAGTAAAGTTATATAAAAGGGATTTCCCCTCTACCAATAATTAAAATAACAAGGCCACACACAGTGAGGTGACTTTGGTTGAAGAAATCTTTGCTAAACCCTATAGCACAGAGACCACAAAGTACTGGTTCTGTGGTCAGGCCCAGGCTGAGTAGCCAGCAAATCTCAGGACCAGCAGGGGCTTCAGAGGTTCCCCTCTGCACAATGACAGAAGGCCAACGACATTTGTGCCCCCCAGAGGGAGTCCAGCATCATTTCCTCAAGTATGGGGATAGCATACAACAGGTCTGAGTCTGGCTCTTGGGTGTCTTCTCCCCCTTCAAGGCTAAGGTTGTGTAAACTGTGGACAATCATAATTTCCACTCTCTGCCCAGCTCTCAGCAATGACACACATAAAGACAGCTAATACAGAGGCCTCGTTGGCCAAAACAATGTTTCAGACAGCTAACAGTTGCAGCCACAATTGCCCTTTCAACAGATGGCTTCCTAGCCAGTAATACCACTTTAAATTGTTCTCCCAGTTGATGGTGAGATTTTGTTTTTGTTTTGTTTTAAATATATTTTGTTGATTTTTTTTACAGAGAGGAAGAGAGAGGGATAGTTAGAAACATCAATGAGAGAGAATCATCAATCAGCTGCCTCTTGCACACCCCCTACTGGGGATGTGCCCACAACCAAGGTACATCCCCTTGACCGGAATCGAACCTGGGGGACCTTTCAGTGCACAGGCCGACGCTCTATCCACTGAGCCAAACTGGTTTTAGCGAAGGTGAGTTTTTATAATTGGTAATAGGTGGAAGCAATGGATGATACAGATGGGTCATCTTGTTGACAAAGCACCAATGCAGATTAGCAGAGCTAACCAATCCAGAGACTGGTTAATTTTTCCACAGATGGATTATACAATTTATCTAGACTTTGGGCCTCACTTCACACCCATCACTATCAGTCTCCTGTCCTTTTTATTTGCAATTTAATATGAATGAATGAAAAGCAAGTGAATGAATACAAGGGAAGGAAAAAATAGGTAAAACTCCAAGTGATGAATCAGCATCTTAGAAATTACCGTAAAATAATGGAAAAGGGGAAAGTTAAAAAAGCTGTCTAGGAAGCACATATACAAAAATGAACTCAAAATGGACTGCAGACCTAAATATAAGAACTAAAAGTGTAAAATTTTTATAAGAAAGCATAGTAGAAAATCTTAGTGATCTTGGAGTTAGCAAATATTTCTTCAATAGGAGACAAAAAAAAGTACAAACAACTTTTAAAAATCCAATCAATTGTGGTAGGTTTTTCAGAGAAAATGTTGGTAGGTCAGTGGACCACCCTACCAATGGGGCTTTGCATTTCCATTAGAAATAAATTCCCCAAGTGCCTCCGGACCAGAAGACCTTCCCCATCCAGACGGCTGTGCTCATCTGTCCACTCATCATGTCAGCTAATCCAGACAGTTTATAAGCAACTAAAAGTGGAATTTCCTTTCCCTAGATTATTTTATCAGTCTACAATTAGCTGGCCAACTCTGCTGTCGACAATCTGCCCAGGACCAACTTGACTTGTGAATCACTCTCATCACTTATCAACAGAGCATAAACAAGGCAACCTTTCCAGATCAACATGACAAGTACAAAGGCAGAAACATTCCAGTTTCCTTGTGCCATGCTCTGCTCCCCAAGGGTTAAAAGGAGCCATAAGAACAACCAAAGCCAGGTCAGTTAAAACCCAGCCTTCTTTAAATTACCCAGACATGGATCTATGGAAGTTTTGCCTTCAGAACTAAGATTACAGAACTAAGTAAGTGCTATTTATGAAATAGACACTTTTCCTGCATTAACTCACTTCATCTTTACAATATGGTGATGCCCATCTTCCCATTAAAGAACCCAAAGCTCAGTAAAGCGTATTTGCTGAGCCAATGCTCTCAAAAGTGGGATGCATCCACTACAGGGATGAGTTGACACAATGTAAAAAAACACCACACCTTAGAACATCTATTCATTTTAATTTCAGAAGAAGAAAGATACAACTTCTCTAATATTCAATTTGCACAATGACACTGGCTCCATCCAGCCTTTAGGTCAGGCAGTCGGTCATGTTCCAAGGGCGGTGAGGAGCCTGAGGGACAGTGGTGCTCCTCGACAAGATGGCTGCCAGTGCCAACTATTAGCTCCACTGGGTACCCTGCAGGGGTGGGAGGCCTCTTGATAAAGCCCCTTTGTGGCTATTACCCCTTTTAACTAAAATCACTCTCACTAATGGATGAGAGGCTTGGAAATATCTGTAAAAAGAAAGTAGGAACTGTAGTCAAGACTCAACATGTGACCAAACAGACAAAATGGTAGCCATTTTGGGAGGTGAACACAAGGACAAGCCAATCGGATCTGACAGAGAAATAACCCAAAACTCTAAATTATCAAGACATTTGTAATATGGATTTTTTTCCCCCATCATCGATACAGGTGTAAATTACCTAAGTAAAATAGCAAAGTATTGAGATTAGCCAGATATTTTAAACTACGTACCTGAACCATCAAAACAAATGTCTTCACTTTTTCACCAATGTTGAAAGATATGCATACTCAATCTTATGTTTTCCAAAAGGTTACAAAACCTAATAATAAATATTTAGCAGCTTCTTTTGGGCTTTTCTCAGTCAACTAGTATAGTAATATGTGCACTTAACCTATAAACAAATTCATATGTAGAGATAGTCAATTATTTTGTTAATAACAGGAATTATTTTTTAAACAAGAAATGGCTTGAGGGTAGAGGTGGCTGGGGAGAGGTCAATGGTGGAAAAAGGAGACATATGTAATATTTTAAACAATGAAGATTTTTTTTTTTAAAAGCTGCAATGAAAAAAAAAAGAAGGGATTAGAACTCTGATCTAATCTCCCCACAGCTGACCCCATTTGAGCACTTAGAGATGAAAGCTTATAGCTTTTCTGATGGGGACAGAAGATCCTAGGAAGTGGAGAAGCAGCACGTGGGACCTGCCCTGGGGAGAAGAGGGAGGACAGGAAGGCAGCTAAGGAGAAATCTGGCCAAGACCAGTTTGGCTCAGTGGATAGAGTGTCGGCCTGCAGACTGAAAGGTCCCGGGTTCGATTCTGGTCAAGGGCATGTACCTTGGTTGCGGGCACATCCCCAGTGGGGGGTGTGCAAGAGGCAGCTGATCAATGATTCGCTCTCATCGATGTTTCTAACTCTCTGTCCCTCTCAATTCCTCTCTGTAAAATCAATAAAATATATTTTTTAAAAAGGAGAAATCTGGTCAAGGGTTCAATCTGAACTTGAACCCTGTGTACCCTGGAGGACTCAGAACCCCATCAACTTCCAGAACACAACCTTGCTTCTTCTTTCCTAAACAGCAAGTTTCATTTTCTCCATTCTGTATGTGGGCTTCGCCAAGGCAAAGCTGGAAGAGGACAAGGAATCTGCTTCAAGAAGATGGTCACTGCTGGTATCGGTTTGGTTCAGCGGATAGAGGGTCGGCCTGCGGACTGAAAGGTCCCAGGTTTGATTCTGGTCAAAGGCATGTACCTTGGTTGCAGGCACATCCCCAATAGGGCATGTGCAACAGGCAGTTGATCGATGATTCTCTCTCATCAATGTTTCTAACTCTCTATCCCTCTCTCTTCCTCTCTGTAAAAAACCAATAAAATATATTTTTTTAAAAAGATGGTCACTAAGAAGTCAACAGCTGATGCCTTTTGTTGCAAAATGGAGAGAGTACATCTGGTCTTCCTTCACTCTCCCTTTCCCCATAAACCCAAGGTCACACCTTAATCGAGGCCTACTATGAGTGAGGCTGGGGATTAGGGACTGGGAACTCCAGGATAAAACACAGCTGCCCAATTTTCCAGTCTTCCCAATAACCTATTGAGCAGTCTTTCCTGATGTACTATTTCTTTAAACTCCTTGACACTTAAGTAATCATGAGCACCTTGACCGCCTTCTGACCCAGCTGGGCCCTGGCTACCTCTTATCACCCCCCTGGCTCCTCCAACCCCCAGGTTTCTCTGGCCCCTGGCGTTGAGACATTTCCACATTGCAGTGGCTGAACTGAGTCTCAGGCTCCCAGTGAGCCTCTCAATGCCTTCTGGGTATGAATCATCCATCCTTAGTTCTGTCATGGCCCCCATGGCATGTAATAGGTGATCAATAAAGCTTTAATAAATCACTGTTCCACTTGCATTTTATAATGGCAGATCGTTCTCTGCCCAATAAAAAAGCTACTAAAATGCCAAGTGTCAATCACATTTTTGCAAATCGAGTCAGGTTCTTCAGTGCACTGAGGGAGCTTGCTATTTAAAGGATCCTGTGGTTAATTCTTTTGTAACCTGAATAATCACTTCCTGCTTTACTTTTCCTGTCAAGATGAATTTTTGCATATAAGCTTTGTCTAAGAGGAGGAAGCCTGTGTTTGGCCCATAAATCATGAGGCTATGTCTCTCCT